CTTGAGTTTATGAATATGGGTGATATTTTTGGATTGAGAGGTTTTATTCAATTTTTTATTGTATGGAAGTATTTTGATCTTAATAATATTGATAATGTGAAGTTTTTCATCTTTGATTTTACATTAATAAATCGGATGTCATCCCCGCAAGGTATTGCCCCAGCTCAACCAAATAAAATAAAGTAAAAAAAAGATGTAAAACTGGTTCTAATATGAAAAGAAAGGGTCAAGGGGTTCAAAAGTGGGGTTTTGAAATGAATCCAAAAGAATTATACATGTCATGCTCTAGTCAGTCTAATTTTACACTTGAAAATATGGTAATCTCTTGTAGTAAAAATATTTCTTCTTCTAGTGCTGCGAGACCCAGATTTGAAAAAGAACCAGTGAAGTTATCGGGCCAAATGTCATGAACTCAGGATGGAAAATCGGATAATACCAGATGACGTCATATATACTTTTTAATTTTAAATATATTAATAATGCAACTTCCATAGTTATAGGTAGTAATATAAAAATTGTATGATAGAATTTTTCAAACCATAATAAATTTATTTTTAAAATGAGTTTAGTAATGGAAAGTTGAGACATATTAATAAAGATATAAAATTTACGATCTAAAATAACTATAAAAATAAAAATAGCGGTCGATACAACAAGATCACAAAAAAATGGGATGGCAACATAAAGAAGAAGTCATAAAAAGAGAGATAAAAAAACGGGTGTTGTGCTATAAAAAAACGGGTGTTGTCCGATTCCCAATCCAACCATGACTTTGACCGAGTATTGGTCGGTCCAATAACTTTGTAGTTTTGAAGCAAAAATAGACTGTCTTCTAGCTCGATTCATGGTTGGACAAGTCTGACTAGCTAGTCCAGTCCAGTCTAGGTTTTACAACACTGTATTCTTCTTTTTGTTGGTGTTGTGCTACAAGTGTACATATTATTTATGCATTCTACAATAAGTATATCTATTCACGTTAATTGTGAAACTATTGTCTAATATAAGTAGGGAAGTCAAATCAAATTCGTCTAAACTATAAGAGTTCATGTCCCAAATATGGCCTTCTTTGTTAGAATTAGCTTGTGAGGAATTAAAAGACGTAAAGCTTAAGAGTAAGCTGAGATTTTAACTTATGAATTTAATTTTTCTTGAACTTTTTCTTAGCATCATCTTCTGGTATATATATATATATATTTTATAATGGCCATGTTAATAAGAAGTTACAGTTGAAATCTATCCTTATTAAACATGTAGAAAATTCACTGTTAAATTTTAAGATCTACGAAGATGAACAATTGATTTTTCTTACCGCAAAAAAAATTGCGCTTAAGATGAATATTGAGAATGTATTTCCAGCAAAACATTGTATTGTTAGAAAAAGTTACAAACTAAGAAAAATGAAAAAAAATACAATGACCTCAAGTATCCCTCAAGTTCAATTAGTGTTTAATAGTTGTAAATATAACACCATATCATTAGAGAATGAATTTTAGGTATTAGAGACCTTTTTTTTTTCTTTTTTTTTTCTCATTGTTTGGGAGAATTTTTATGTGATTCAAAGAAGTTGGGATCATTTGATGATTGTAAACTTTGGGAATATTGTTATATTTTTAAATCAATTTTTTTTGACAATGATTTAATCACTCTTTGCCGATTTTAGACTTTTTTTTTTTTACCAAAGTACTATAATTAATGATCATTCAAAATATTCATACTTTACACAAATACCTTCGAATACTTCTTACTAGCCAATCTTAGCATTATCTACATCAAGACTTTGGAAGATTCGAAGGAATAAAAAGATATCATAATTCAACAAAAAGAGGAATAAATATTACGTTCAGCCTAGAAGAAAACCAAAAGTGATATGAGTTTGCAAGTATTGCACCATTCCTCTATATCCTCTAAAGTCTGTTGTCCAAGAGAAGCCATCCCTACCACAAGAAAGATATGAGTAATCTCCGCAACCTGACAACTACCATCAACAAAGGAAGGAGCAACATGATTTGCAAGGCCTAGATGTAATCCTGTTGGATCCTCTCTTAAAAGTGGCTCAGAACAGACCGAATAGCTCCAATTCAGACAACTTTTGATGAGCCTCGGTGTACTACACAAAGAAAATATCTTTATCCTTGGCGTATTTTTCCACGAGTGGACGGAAGACAGGACGACTCAAAAGAGCTTGGTCTGAGTGAAGTTGCAAAAACCTTCCTTCTCTCGACTCAGAAGCGCCTTGAAATAAAAATTGTCAAATTTTATGCTCATGTCATTTGAAGCACTTCCCTCCAGTCCCCAAGCAATAGAGAGGGCAACAAAATCCTTAGCGGGAAGACGTTTCAGATTCACAACTACATCCATCCAATGGACAGAACCTTCAGCTGGGGATTTGTGCTTCTCCTGTGAAAGTAAATAGGATCTTTATCAGAAGGATCGGTCTTAGACACATCCTGGTCAGCACCTTTAACAGCATCAACGAGACTCACTTCTACTGGAGGTCCAAGTTTATCCTTCGGTCCTGGATGGAACGCTATCTTTGGTCCTCCAGTTGCTTCTACAACAATAACGGCCGTTAACTGATAGAAATCCACGTATTAAATCACTGGAAATTTAAGTTTAACCGGCTGTAATAGATTGACTACAGTGTCATAATCCTTAGTTACAGCACCAACAGCATAGGATAACGCAAAGTAAAGGATGTGAGGAGCAGAGCACTTCTCATTGAAAACAAGAAATCTGAGCATCTCTCTCGAGAACCTTTGTGATTATCTGTTAAATAGAGGAAGTCTCAAGAACAGTATCTTTTCCTTGTCCCATAGCCCGAAGCTCCTCTGTCCATTTCACCCTTTGCGATTCTGGTAAACGCTCGATGGAGGCCTAATTAGGCTCATCAGAAATCTTGATGTGAGCAAATCGCGAAAGGGGTTAAAAGTTACGAGCCCAAAGATTGTCATCCTCAAGATGTTTGTCCTAGTCTTTCTTAATAGATTGGTCTCATTGGGGGAGAGAACACCATTGCCCAGTATTTTCTTTCTCCATATGTTGGTGGAGCTTTTTCGCAAATCACTGATTTTACACTTCTAAAAATGAGAGATGGTGACAAAACCCCCTTGATCTTATGATTTTGGGAAGACCATTCTTGGCTACTAGAGTTAAAAGTAAAGGATGTGGTAATGAGCTGGAATAGATATTGAAAAAAGTGAATTTTTTGTGAAAGAGGAGAAAGAGGCTACCTCTGCGGTGACAATCTTTAGCGAGAAAGAGGGTACTTTCAAGAAAAAGAAAGATTATGAAGAATTGTTGGAGAAAAATACCATGTCACCAAGAGAAAATGGTATTGTGACTATGTAGACAATACAATATGATGAAAAAAAAAAGAAGGTGAAAATGCCTTATGAAAGCGAAAGATGAAAACGTAATTAAAGAAAAAATGGTGTTGACCCCGTTTGGTAAGAGGAGAAAGTTGACATCTTTGAGGACTCTCAAGAATTGGAGTAACTAATCCTTCTTTTGAAGAATCTTCAAAAAAATTTATAGAGGAGCTGAAGAGATTACAAGAGAGATAACTATTGAGTGTTAATTCTAAGTTGGGTACTAGTGAAGGTTCGAACTCTGAATTTCTTGAGTCCTAACCATTAAAGGGAGGCCTAAAAATGGAAAGCAGTTCACACTAGTAGGGAGTGGAGATCCAAGATAATTTTTGAAGGACGCGGAGTTGAATAGAAAAGACTTAGAGAATGCCGATTCGTTGGTTGATAACACCTCTTCAAGTATCAGTTAGTAAGTTAGAACGATGAATTGGGCTGACAGCGTTAATCAAGGCAGTGTCTGGGAGGTACATTACTTTGATCTTTCAGTATCTTTTCTTCTTCTATTTTAAAATAATTGTCCAATTTGTACTAAAAGTGAAAATCTAAACTGGACAACTATTTTAGAGAGAATGAATAGTTTTTTAAATGTAAATGAATTTTCATTTAACTTGATCGGAAAACGCGAACACGCAAGATCTGAACTATACATATCCCAGTATCTAGCTCTCAAAGTCTTGCTTATATTTTGCATATTGAGCTAAACCAAGTGAAAAAACATTAAAATGACGAGTAACTCAAAAAGTAATTAAATTTTTAAAGTGAGTTTTGATGCCATTCATAATGAGATTCATTATGACAATTCTTGTGGTTCTGCAGTCAAGGATTGTATAATTGATTCGTTGTATCCGACCAATTGAAATTTGTTTAAGCTAATTTTCAGCACCAAAAATGCGACAAAAATTTAACAGCAAAAACTAAGGCTACTAAAAATCACAAATAGTCTCTAATCAGTGTTTACAGCTCACAGATCATCATCCAGGGCTATTGTTCTTTTATTCTATTTATTCTTTTAATAAAACAAAATTTTCTTTTGGTGAACTTGATACTCAAACACTGTACTCCTTGTGGAGCATAGTGTGGAGCAACATGATACTTGTGGAGCAATAAATTGGCACAAGGGTTTAGACATGTGTTTTGAAAACCGGATCGGAGGACGAACTGACAATTTAAGTAGGTCACTGGTTTGACCGGTTCGAATCGGATTTCGAAACTAGTGAAAATCGGCGATAAAAAATATTTATAAAATTATTTTTTTCAAAATTATGAAATCCGATTCAACTTGTAGCAGTTCTCGGTCGAACCGTAATTTTATTCGAGTTTGACCGAGTTTCACCGGGTTTTTTAATTAAACAGTTATTCAATGAAACCGGTCCGAAAAGACCTCTCTGATTCTCAGTCAAACCGGTTCAACTGCCAGGTTCGGTCCGGTTTTAAAAACATAATTGAAAACTAAAGGCAGATGGTTGTCGGAATCAGAACTATAACCAACATTTTGCAATTCAAGAATAGTTAATGGGGTTTATTTGTAATTTAACAAAGTGGGGAAAAACAGAATGCCCGGTGGAGAAAACCTCAGAAAACAAAACCCATTGAACAAAACACCACACAGGCGAAGAGGACGAGTGAAAAACGATGCAGAGATGGTGCTCCAAACTCCGGGCAATCTATTCGACGCTGCAATCACCGGCGAAGCCGCAGAATCCTTATTCACTCACCTCGATATCTCGTCGTTCCCTTCACATTTCGCCTAATTTGATCAATAAATCCCCTTCCTGTTCTTCTGTTCTCCCCCAATTCAAATCCCTCCGAAATGCCCTGGAAATTCCATGCCCTTCAACGTCTCCTCTAGCTCTCTCTGTAAGTTTCACATTACGTTACTCGACCCTTATCTTTTTTTGTTTATGTATGACTGTTTTGGGGTTTGCTCTTTAGCTGTTAAGGTAATTGCTGGGAAAGATTCAACTCAGTAATGGTTAGAAATGTGCTGAAAATCTATTCGTCGTGCCTTACAATTACTTTGTACTTATTCATAAGGATATTTTTTGCTATTAGAGCTAAGATGACCGAAAATATGTTGGGTTGCTTATGTTAGAAATGCATTTCTTATGTTTTCGGAACGTGTTGAAGTTATCCATTGTGTAAAATTTTCTTTATTGCTGTTTAACTCTTCAAGTAAAGTTATTTTGCAAAAAGAAAATGATTATTTTCTGGTGAGAAGGACCAGATGATGTGGGATACAATGTTGGACTTAGGCATTATGGTTTTAATACATCCAAATATAGTTGATTTTGTGCAAGTTCAGAGTTCTTGCCTTTTAACTCGTCTTTACGCTTTCAGTTTCTTCAAGTGCGCCACATTACAGCAAAACAGAAGGAACGGAAGTTAAAGAGTAGGAAGCCCATGACTCCGATCGTATCCAAAGTGAAGAAAATCAAAATGAAATTTTACTCGTATGTATATCTCTTGCTTAGATGCTTTAGTTTACATTAGGTGCAGGTGCCTGTTCACTTGACAGTGTTCTTAAGATTTTTTTTTTCTCATGTTCTACTTCTTTAGGTCATTTAAAGGAAGGTTTAGAGTTATGAATGATGGGCAGATAAGGCGTTGGAAGGAAGGGAAACGACATAATGCACATTTAAAGGTATGTTAACCTCCCATTAGAATCAAACCTCCTTCAGGTTAACGTCTACTGCTTCTTAGCAAGTTTTTCCACTGAAGACAATCTAATTTTTTTAATGCGTTGTCCCTTGGTTAGTGAGTTTGTTCAGTGTTTTATCCCTGTGAGAGTATGACCGTAACCTAATACAATAAAGTTTATGAGGTTATAAGACAAAATTTGCTAAAGTGATGGATTATCCTCTTAAATTGGGATTAAGTGTTGTCAGTATTTTGGTGAAGGATGTCGGGGAGTCTACTTTTGTTCATTCTGGAAGGGGACTTTCATATTCCCTTCATCATGATACTGTGTCCATGTTTGTTTGGCAACTGGGGATATGGAGGAAAAATGGAAATGATTAAGATAATGGTTTTAAGGTGTTTGGACAGCCTTGATGCCACTCATTTATCTTCGCATTTGGGAACTCTACATGATCGCTAGAGTTCTGTTATTCTTTTTCCCTATGGACTATTCAGGGCATTTACTTTCGTTTGTATTTAGCAAGGAGGGAGATTGCCATCTTCTCACAATTACTTTTTAATCTAGTTTAATTGCAAAGGTTGGCATAGTCCCTTTAAGCTCTCACAAACAGGAGAGTTTTTATAACATTTTCACAAACATAGCGACTAGCATGATCCGAGATGAGATTGAAGTATGAGAAATTCCAACAACATTGTAACCCTACGTGAGAAGGTTTTCTTTCCTATAACAAGAAAGATGGCAATAATTTCTTTCTTTTCTCCCTTTGATGGCGACTCTGGTAACTCTTCATTTGGTTGAGTTAGATGCAGTGCACGAGGGAATTTATGTTTAGGCTATTGATTTTATGTTGTCCTCAATGATAGAGAAATTTGTTCCCTTCTATGTCTCCCAAAGTACATTTGGAACCAAAACCAAGTAGTTCAATGAAGGAAAATCCCTGCTGAGGTCAAAACTATGATTCTGTAACTTTGTGATGTGGTTACATCCTCCTGTTGCTTACTGGACTAACTTTCAAACATCATTGAACTGAGCAGCCGCATGATGTATAAGCTTCACTTTGGGTTTATTTTCTACTGGTCGACATGAATCTTAATTTGCTGTTATAATTCACAAATGTATTCTTCTTACTTTGCTGGAACTAAGGTAATGATAATTTGAGTCTTTAAACAATTTAGGGAAATGAGTGAAGGGACACGATGTTAAGTTTTAATCTGTTAAAAACAATTGTTTTGGAATTTGTCAAACTTTCTCGTATGTTTACCTTAAGCAATTACAGCTGACCTAGACTGGATGAGAGGCAAACGGATTTCACAATAAGTGTTTGGCAAATTAGGCCAAGTTAACTTTTTTTCAGGTTTATAGATCCGAGTAACATATTGTTCTGTCTCACATGTTTGCTAGTTACTTATTGTTTAATTATATTGAGTTGAAAAAGATAGGAGCATTTTTGACTTCATCTTTTCCTGATGCAAGTGTTATGCATACGATCATCTTAACATGTCCTTCTGTATCTCATAAGCTTACATATGAGCATATGATGCTCCGCTAGATGAATATTTTGTTGGCTCTTTGTTGAAGGGACTCCAAACTGTGTTCCAGAACATTCATCTGAATTGAATATTATGTTCTTTCTGCTTTGTGTCTAAGTGGTTGCTGTTTTACATATGCTGTTGAAATATTCACTCTTAGACCCCTCTATTAGGTTGAATCACGCTACTGGAGGATTTTTTGTCGTCCATGGGTCGGCAGTCCCTCATGCTTTCTGGGCTTAGTGCATTTATTTAATGTTGTTCTTTTGTTGTCATCTGTGGTTGTGTTGTTTTGTTATAATATCCTGTTGACTGTTGTGAATGTCTGAGAAAGCGTCCTTATTGTTAGTTTCTTGTATACTCCCTTCATTAGGCACCAAAGTGGACTATAATATGGGACGGGGGGAGTAGAATGCTGAAGTTTGAATTGGTGCTACCTGTTCACCCTAGTGGAATCTTTGATTTTCGTTTAGGGCTTATAGTTGGGGGAATATGCTGTTCTTTTCTACTTCATCTCCCTACAAAGGCTGTTAAGCGATAGATCATTTAAGTTGGCAGGAATTTATCACTTCGATGGAACTATAACTAGGGCAACCATATTCAGTTTTTGATGATACATTCCATACCTTTTTTTTAAAAAAATGATCCTCTTAACCAATCAGCCAGTGTCTAACCAAAAGAATTCCTCTTTCCATCCATTCTGCAAAATTGGCGGTATTGGCACATGTAATATTAAGCACAAACTGCCAAGTCATAGCTCACTTGTTCTTCGAGAAAAGACGGGATACATTGTCAATATAATTTGATTGAATTGCTCATTTTTATTCAAATAGTCCACAATAGTAGTAATCTGTGATAGTGTATACAAAAGAGATATCATGCAATCGTCCTTGTTACAAAATTACATAATTTATTGTACACCAACTGCTTTAGGCACCTTTTGTCCCGATGTGTTGTATAATTTTATTTCCTCATTTGTTTCTGATATGATCCTTCCTCATGCAGTCTAAGAAAGCAAGGCGTAGACTGAGGAAGCCTGGTACTGTCCCTTTGGCTTATGCAAAAGTGATGAAGAAACTCAACTTCAAAGGCTGAACTATTGAGGTCTTATATGCTTCTGTATTTTCTAGAAGGGAGAGTCTTTCTTGTTTTATGACTTCTCGTCGTTTTTCTGTAATTCATTTTTTTCAGAACATTTAGCTTTTATAGCATTTTTATTAGGGTTTTTGGTGACCTCTGTCAGTTGCTTTAATGTCTACTAGAGTGACGATTGGGACGCGATAAATTTCGGAATTTCCTGAAGAGGGAGAATTCCCTTAGAAATGACACATTAGGAAATGGTTGTTTTCTAGATCTGTGTACTTTAAGCATCATCACAGAATGTCGTCTTCTTTTTTTTTTTTTTTTTTAATGATTTGGTATAAGGGATTATTGGCATTGCATCCTGAATGGAAAATATTTAAGACTCTTGATAGAAATGTTCAATAAATACATTCGACATTCTTAATTTGTGAAGTATCCTTTTACAACGCCTCCCCTTCCGAGAGACTCATAGTTGGGGTTATAGTCTATTGCTTCCCACGTGCCGGAGTCCGTTTTGCGATAGGTCTGAGTTTCATCAAACTTCCACTCACATACCTTGAAGGGTTTGAGGGTGCAATTGTCGCGGTACCTGTATGCCATGAACACCCCCATATTGGTGGAGCAGTTGTACATGGTTGAAGAAGGGAAAAACCTATGGGGTGTGACGTTAAAGCTGTAACCTTCATTAGGTTTCAAATGCATCCGCCTCGTCCTGGTGGTATTCTCGTCATAGAAGCCAAAACATCTAACCGTTAGAATCTTGGTGTGGTTGTTGGTTATGCTAACTAAAGCGCCCCCTTGTGCCAGCAGCGGTTTGGATTCGGCCGGGCTTGGCAGCATCAAGAGAAATACTAGTATGTGTTGGAGGAGGGCGAGTTGCATGAAGAAAGCCATTATGGTGCATGCCTTGGAGGAGTTCGATCCATTCAATCTGATCATGTTCAAGAACTTTGTGTTAGCCGTGAATTCATCTAAGCCCACAAATCCAACCTCTTCTCATGATATATGCATTTCTGATTACGATATACGCATTTCTGATTACAATATACTACTTCCGTCCCAAATAAATAGTCTATATTGGGTTCTCAAATTTGTACTAAAAACAGTACAAAATTTTAAACTCAATGTAGACTATTTTTGTGGGACGAAGGAAGTCGTATTTATGATCCAACCTCTTCAAATGATATATGCATTTCTAATTACCACATAGTATTCATAAATAGATCAACGTCATTTCAGTAATGAAATACTACTGTCGACACATCATGTCAGGTTGAAATGCTTGAAATAGTTACAGAAATACCTTTTTTTTGAGGACAAGCACATTGGATTTGGCTGACAGATTTTCTCAGAAGCCATTCTCGAGCCAAGGGTTTCTTTGATCCTTCTTTTTTTCTTTTAACTTAGATGAAACCTTGAATCGAGTTCCTTCAATTTCCTGAAAACGGAAGAAATCTAACAAGAAAATGTAAGAACAACCTTGATTGATTAGCAAAGTTGGGGAAAGAAAATGTCTATGACATTAGAAAAAACCCTGATCAAAACAGAGAGATTTAATGAAAAGTGGTGAAAAAGTTTACCTGAAAAGTGGTGAAGAAAGTGGTGAGATTTCATGATTCCTTCGAAGTTTAAATTTGAAAGCCTTGGTATTTACCTGTAGACTTGATGACCTTTATTAGTTGTAAGAATTGATGGACATAAATTATCCCGAAAAACGAAGGATGATATTTTTGCAAATTACCCAGCCTGGCATAAATCTATTTTACCACGCTTGAGTTTTTTTTTTTTTTGTTTTTAATTTTTTCTAAAAAGATTTTTTAAATAACAAATTACAAAATAAACTGGATTTTAAGTCGCATTTTCTTCCCCAACACACGGTTTTAATTACATTTGGATTCGCCTAGGAGTACATTTCAACAACTCCGATTGATTTTGTAACCAAAAAAAAAAAAAAAAACAACTCTGATTGATTTTTTTATTTTTTTAATTTTATTTAATTTTTTGAAAATGAACTCTGATTGATTTACCTTTCTGTCTTTCTGACAAATTTTTCTTCATACGCTTTCCATACCAAAATATTGTTGTGTTTGTTATATTCATTTATATTACTACAAATCCAACAATCATTTTCAAAAAGAAAAGGTAACTTTTTTTTTTTTTTTTCAAGTTTTCAGGCTTTCATGAATACCAAAAAATCAATGAGGTACTCTTGGATTAATATCAGTACACCATATGTTTTGGGAAGAAAGAAAACAGAAAGACCAAAGAAATGAAAAGCAAGATGATAAATTAATAAGTACCGGTGCTTGGTACAAAATATGTTCAGTTATGTTGAAACAAATCTTTCTCTTTAACCGGAAACTTAACCAAAAAAAGAAAAAAAAAATAATAATAAAATTATTCGATGACAAATTTTGAGTTTCTAGTTCAATTTGCTATCAAAAAGCAGAATCCTAAAAACTAAAAAGAAGAAGAAGAAGAAATTCAAATCTCAAACTTCATTTTTTGGTTGATGAGGATGTTCAGTACTATAAACCAAGCCCTCCACAGGTGAACTCTGCTGGCTATTCTGATCAATAAGATGTCCTGCAGCTTTGGCTCCTCTGAAATTATCAACATTTCCAAAGATCAACACAATGACTCCAACGAGTGCTGCACAAAATGAGATCCCAAAAGATTTCTGCACATTCCCAGGCGTGGCTGATGCGATGGCAAATCCGGTCCATGTCCCTAAGCTTCTCACCAATGAAAACCAGGCAGAAAATGCCCCTTCTTTTCCTGATGGAGAACAATCCAACAGAAGTACTCTTCCGAAAGCGTATAACAAACCTGTTGAAGTGCCGAGAACAGCAGTAAAGAATAGCACGTAGGCGGCTTGCCAATGCCTGTGGCGGAAATAGAATCCGAACCCTGATGTTGTTATCGATAACAGGAATCCCAAGAGCTGCATTTTAACTGCATCAGCCCTGATGAGTTTCTGGAAGTGATGTGATACTGGAAGAGAAAGCAGAGGGAAAATGAAGTAGATTAGCCATAGATATAAGATGTGTTTTGCTTCCAGGCAGAGTTCGCCTACTGAATAGAGAAGTCCTCCTGTGAAAAGGCACATTGTTGTGAGTGATGAAAGGAACAAGCCAACCAGGCTTCCAGCTGCATGAGGATACTTAAATATGGAAAATGTGTGATAGATTGGAGGGGAATTTGCTGATGGATCTGAAACAGGTTCGTTACTTCTTGTTGTGACAAATATTTGCGCCGTTCCAGAGAGCCAAATTAGGCCACTGAAGATTGAAACAACCCACAAACTGGTGAACTTATCTGACTTCCTGAGCATGTGGTATATAAAGGCGGCGATTAAAGCAGATCCAATGCCTCCAGCTGCTGTGGAATAAACTGAGAGTAAACTAGATACTGCTCTTCTATTAGGAAACTTGCTTTTTCTGATGGGGGAACCGACAAATCCACGTATCATCAAGCTCATGTGGCGAGCATGAAAGGTGGTGCCAATGGTGCTAGCTATGATAATGAAGGCTATGTAAGGCGGAAATATCCATCTTGTACGAAAAAATCCAGCAGGAAGGCAGAATAGGCCACCCATTGCTGTCACTACGCCGGCCAGCAGTTGCTGATCACGGCCATGATCTAGGTGGATTGAGAAAATGGAAAGTATTGGTGCTGCAAGAACCAGTCCCAGCACCCAAGCAACTGATGTCCACTCCAGTGAAGATAATTCAGCATTGCCAATTTTGATAGATTGGTCAGTCAATCTCTGGTACCTAATGTCAGAAATAAAAGTTAAACAGATAAATTCTGTTTTGGTGTAAGTTCTTAGTTGTCCAAATTCTTCACTGCACAATGCACATCCATTATTTATAAAATTTTTTCTGACAGTTTTGATTGGAGAAACTATGTAAGAATGTGCAGAAAACTGATGAAAGCAGATAATAAACTTGTTTTTATTACAAGTTAGATTGAATGAAATTCTTCTCTACAAGTAAATTTTCCTTCTGTGTTTGACATGGACTGTTATATCTGAATAGATGATTGATGAACTTTATTTTTTTATAGGAAAACCAGATAACATGCAGAAGACCTTGAATCCATTTCTTAGTTTAGTTGCCAAATTTTTCAATATTGAATGCATATCGCAGTGTGTCTCGCTCGTGAATGTGAGGTAAACGATATGCTATTGGCTTTAATATGAGCAAAATGCTCTAGTTAACTAACCGAATACTTATACCCAACAGGCAACAAATGAAACCGAGGATCTCAGTGCTTCAGCAACCTGAAATGAATCAGATGAATTTTGACTTACAGCCTCATTTGCTTCTCAGTGCACTGAAATCCCTTGTAGCTTGTGAGCCAACCGTGTGGAGGAGCTGGTGGATCATGCAGGGTCTGACCAATGATGAGAGGAAACAGTATAGGAACCAGAACTGTGTGAATAAAATACGAGCAAAAGCCATAAAAATACCATCCGAAAACTTCACTACTCGCCGGTTTCTCCTGAGTTTCAGCGTAAATTTCATAAACCTGTTTAGCCCTTTGAAGTTTCATACCAACATTGTGAAAATCTGGTGTACTCATCCCTTCTACATCTTCCACAGGTGTTGGCCTCCTTGCTGCAGGAGTTGGTTGAGCTTGAATATGATCCTGAACCTCACTTTGATCGTTTACTTCTGACATATTAGTATTATTTCCAGTAATAACTACCCGATTATGATCAAGAAAAAAAAAGTCAGCTCAGGCAGGGAAAGTTTCAGGTGGATGTTTTGATGAGATTTGAGTAAAATATATATATCGGCTGGTGGTGAAACTTTCAAGAAGTTTTTAACTTAGAAAAGGCCTCGGTTTGTACATATAGTTGGCACTAAAGTTAAAATGAAAAGCACTGTCAAGAATATTTGTCATTGTTCTGCTTCGTATTGATTTTAGCTCCTTAAGCTGTCATCAAACTGTACTACAGTTTACTTATTAAGGTAAACTTTTTTTCTGTAACAAGATGGAATCATTAAACTCAATTTGTTTCTCCTTGTCCTAAAGAAAAAGAAAAAAAAAAAAAACCCTTTAGTATGCTTACGACAGAGCAATTAACACGAGTCGATATACAAATGAGGAATTGTTCTAGGATTTGCAGTTCGACCTACATATTGATGATTGTAGACATAAATGAGAAGCTTAATAAGCATTTTTCTTTTAAAAAATTTGGATTGGACCCACTAAGGTTCACTTAATTCTGATTGTTGGAATTTAAAGAACAAGTCAAAATGATCTTTTGCAACAATTCAAAGAGGAAGCCAACTCTACAAAAAGCATATCCCTACTTTGTTATCTGTCAGCTGTGAAGTGTAAAAGCTGTTCCAAAGTTGGCTTTGCTTAGATGCTTGTACTGCTTTTGATGATGAACAACATGGAACAAATGCTTGGCCTGCTGTCTACAATAACATAGTTAATCTTTCTAGGATTGCATTAGCATAATTCTGTAACCCTACAATTTGGTTTGATTAGAGAAATGTTGTTATAAGTTGAAATAAAAAGTGTAGAACAAACGGTAGGCGTAAGTGACAATTTGTGATACAACATGATTAATATCGAAAACTGCATAATTGAAGTACAACAATTCGAACAGGATTAGTTTCTTTTTTGAGTAACTAACACCAAACATGATATGAATATACATTAAATCTATTCTTGTAAACATAACATTGCCGGCTCAATACATATTTCCTCTGGTTCAAAATTATTATCCAGTTTGAGATTTCACTTTTAGTATAATTTGAACTAGGAATCAAAATCCAAACTAGACAATAATTATAGGACGGATGGAGTATCAGATTGACAGCCCAACTATACAACTATTTATGCACCAGTCACCATTAATCTGACCATGAAGTTCGCAAAGTAATTAAATAAAGCTTTATACTTTTATGCTTAAAACTCAAAACGCGCCAAATTGACTCAACTGTGCCATTTTAAGTTGGTTCTTCTCCATTACCTTTCCCAAATATTACCTTCCGGAGTACATCAAAACACCAAAAATGGCAGAACCAGTCAATTTCCGTTCTGTTGTAGTATTTACCATCAAATTCATTTTCGATGCAAGTTCCTTCCCATATTATGATCCACAACGTTTTCCAAAATCCCTTTGCCGTCGAATCAATTATCGAATTAAATCCGCCAACCATTTATTAGACCCACCAAAGTCAACGCCGTGCTCCACTTCCCTGTTGGACTTTTTCTCGATTCCAATTTATCCGGATTCTCCAATAATGTCTAATCATTGCACGAAAATTCTGACTGGGTTTTTTGCAGATGATGAGAACCCAGCTAAATTTCAACTGATTTTAGCCAAATTCTTAGCTATCATGCTTGGATATTGATTTTTTTTTTTTTTTTTATGGCGGAATTCTGCTTGCTTCTCCTTCCCCTGCTTCTGATATTCATTAGTCCCATTTTCACAGGTAAATAATGATAGTAATGGAACTGTTTCTGAAAGTAAATTAGTGATAATTTTTTAACTTTTTTGTTGATTGAATTCATTGTGAAGGGGTAGCCAATGCCGCGGCAGCATTTACGTTAGTGAACAGATGCCAGGAAACAATTTGGCCGGCGATTTATACCAACGCCGGAACGGCGGAACTTTCAAGCACGGGTTTTGCTCTTCCGGCGGGAGCGTCGGAGACGATTCCAGCGGCGGCTTCGTGGGGTGGCAGTATCTGGGCTCGGACTCACTGTACTAATGACTCCAACGGGGCCAATTTCAGGTGCCTTACCGGTGATTGTGGCACCGGCACGGCAGAATGCTCGGGAAAAAACAGAACTCCGCCGGCCACGCTGGCTGAATTCCAGGCCGACCCCACCGCCTCCTTCAAGGATTTCTACGACGTCAGCCTTGTCGACGGGTTCAATGTCCCAATTCTTGTTGCCTCACTTGGCGGTGGAGGAAACTGTGGGACCACTGGTTGCCCAGCGGATCTGAACGCCGATTGCCCTTCGGAGCTGAAAATGACCGGCGACGGCGGGGAGGTCTTAGGCTGTAGGAGCCCTTGTTCAGTTTTTGGGAAAGCTGAATATTGCTGCAACGGAAGTTACAGTAGCCCGGATGCTTGCAAACCGAATAATTACTCAGAGATCTTCAAGAAACAATGCCCTCAGGCTTATAGCTATGCTTTCGATGATGCCGCAAGTACTTTCTCTTGCATCGGTTCAGTCTACACCATCACCTTCTGCCCTCCTCCTAACGCCAGGTATGAACTTGCTTCATCTTTTGTGGCCATTCAAGTTTTCCAGAATCAGGAATTCCAAAATGAGAAACTTCTGTGAATTTCGTTTTTGTCTGACTTAGAATTTCTACTCGTCTGTAGCCAAGTTACAAGCAATCTTCCTGGAGATGCTAGAAATGTAATTAGGCCTGGTGATAGGTTGAACTCCTCTTCGAAGCTAGTTTCTGAAGGTGGCAATTTCACATTAGGATTCTTCACTGTGCCACAAACTAATTTGAGTTATTTAGGTATATGGTATACATCAGATGAACAGAGAAAGGTATGGGTTGCCAATCCTGACTCTCCAATAGCTGTGGTGGATAGTCAAACTCAATTGGCCATGGACGAGACTGGAAATCTCATTCTCTCTAGTGGAAGAAATTCTATTAGGAATGTTACTGATCAAGTTGTGACCAACAATAATACATTAGCTCTTTTACTAGATTCAGGAAATTTCATTCTTATGGATTCAGGATCCAGGAACCGAACTATATGGCAGAGCTTCGATCATCCTACTGATACACTTCTCCCTGGTATGAAACTCGGCTTCAATCTCACAACTAAGCAAAATTGGACGCTGACTTCTTGGCTTAGTTCAAGCGTACCGGCCTCAGGGTCTTTTACATTGAGCTTGGAAAGGGCTCAGGATTCAGGACAGTTGGTTATTCGTAGGCGGGGTGTGATTTACTGGACCAGTGGCCCTTGGAACAATCAAGGTTTCCCGTCACTACCTCTGCTAAATGCCTCTTTTAATCGATTTATCGACAAAGTTAATCTAACATCCGCTGATGATGGCGTTTACTTCACTTTTGAAACACTCGGTTCAAGTTTATCAATGCTAGCTTTGTCTCCGGAGGGTCAAATTGTCGATGTTGCAAATAGTGGACTTATTGTTAGTCCTTATCAGGAATTTTGTTATGGGTATGAGGGAGATAATGGCTGTGCGAGTTCAGCATTGCCTAGTTGTCGAAGCAGTAGGAATACCTTTCAGAGTAAGAGCGGGAGTTTTTTTGGAGATAATGGTAATTATGATGAAAATTCAAACGTTAGCCTTAGCGACTGTATGGAGAAGTGCTGGAATGATTGCAATTGCAATGGTTTTACAGTTAGTAGCAATGGTACTGGTTGTATAACTTGGACACAAAAGAAGGAGTTTCGCTTAGATGAGTCTGGTCAAACTGTGAAAAAATATGTTTTGGCTGCAGAAAAATCACCAAAAGGTAAGTGTTTCTATAACGAATTCTGATTTGTTGACAACTTGGGTTTCTTCAAAATTTTTTAAAAATTATAGTTAAATGTGTACATTTTAATTGGTACCTGCATTGTTGCTTGGATAGGAAGAACATGGATATGGGTAGTTGTCGCGGTATCAGCTGTCATTCTGTCACTACTGCTTGGTTTCATATGCTATATGATGGTTAAAAAGCGTAAAGTAGTAGGTAATCATCATACTCTACATCTCTTGAGTACTTGCTGTTAAATGTCTCTAAAAGTCATGCATACTTTTGGAACTGTAGAAGCAAAAAAGAGATTGCGTGATGAATACATACATCAATTGACAGCATCTCAGAGCTTTGAAGACGTTGACGAAATGCACAAACAAAGAAAAGAAGGTGACTTAAACATTTTTAGTTTTGGTTCTATAGTGGCTGCTACAAATAACTTCTCAGGAGAGAATAAACTTGGAGAGGGTGGCTTCGGACCTGTGTACAAGGTAAATTATACTTTGAAAATCTCTACGGAGGTTAAGATTCTATTTTATGCTCTTTTGACAGCTAACACAATTCTATACAAACTTTTTCCTAATAATAGCATCATCTGATCAAAACAGAACAACCCACCACATGAAAGAAACCTATACACAAAAATCTAATTGCTGAAAATACAGTTGTTCACTCAAACGGATTTTGGTGCATCAACGTAAAACCTTCCACTTAATTTCTTGTTGGATACACCACCAGTTTCACATCCGTTGTGTTTTGTTAAAAAAGCAGAATGTTTCTCACCTTCTGTACATGATAGATTCTATTTTATGCTGATGGCCTCTAATCCAATGACAGGGGGGGTTACTCGATGGCCGGGAAATTGCAGTTAAAAGGCTTTCCAAGACATCCGGTCAGGGATCTGTGGAGTTCAAAAATGAACTAAGACTTATATCCAAGCTCCAGCACACTAATCTGGTACGAGTTTTAGGATGTTGCATTCATGACGAAGAGAAAATGCTAATCTACGAGTACATGCCCAACAAGAGCTTGGACTTCTTCCTTTTTGGTTTGTAGCATTTGCATCTTTTCTTCTTTCTAATTTTCTCTAAATATCAACATGACAAGTAAACTTCAATTCAATCCATTTTGCATCTGTTCGACAGCTAAGGACAAAAAGGACCAGTTAGATTGGCAGAAGCGATTTGATATCATCGAAGGCATTGCACAAGGACTGCTGTACCTCCACAAATATTCTAGAATGCGAGTGATACATAGAGATCTTAAAGCTAGTAACGTGTTATTGGATGAAAACATGAAGCCAAAGATTGCTGATTTCGGTATGGCAAGAATTTTCAAGCCGAATGAGACAGAAGCAATGACTAAAAGAGTTGTTGGGACATAGTAAGTAAAATCTGCTTTCTAGGCCTATGAATAATCATCACCTACTGCATTGTGTTTTTTCTTCTTCTTCTGATGTACTACCTAAGGTACAAGGTCAATGATTACTATGCAGTGGTTACATGTCACCGGAATATGCCATGGAAGGAACATTTTCAATCAAATCGGATATTTTCAGTTTTGGGGTGTTAATCCTTGAAATTGTCAGTGGTAGGAGAAACTCCAGCTTCTATGATTTCGAGGACCGGACACTCAACCTGATAGGATATGTAAGTTTTCTCATCGACCTTTTTGAACATATCATCGTTTATGCTTAGTTTTTTCAACCAACAAGAACCATGAAATGAGAAATAAGATCATATCAGGCATGGGAGCAGTGGCAAGGTGGAAGGGCCGTAGAGCTAAAGGATCCAGCATTTGCAGATTTGGAAGATGACACAAAACAGATATTAAGATGTATTCATATTGGTCTATTGTGTGTGCAAGAAAGCGTAACGGATAGGCCAACAACGTCAGAAGTCATTTCTATGCTCAACAATGAGAGTATGATTTTGGTAAATCCAAAGCAACCAGCATTTTTTGGTGGAAGAAGGGCTGTTAACGACCATGACTCAACCTCATCTGAACGAGAAAATCAAGGGATAAATCTGCCTCTTTCTGTGAATGATTTGTCTATCTCAGTTGTCGAACCACGATGACACTGTCCTCCTCCATTGAAGAGACTGTATAATTGTTCATTGGTAGGGGCCAATTTAGAAAAGTAATCAAACTACTCTGAAGATCGAATTTGAAACTGTTCTCATGAATGTTTTGTGAAGCAAAACTGCAGATAGTACAAATTTAACTAGATGAATTAAAAACATATAGAGAATTAATCTAGTCAATGTCGTAAAACAATATTGCTGTGGATGTTTTTATACCTCCAAAATATAAAAGAAAAAAGAAAAAAATCACTCATGTACCATTGAGTAATTCTGTTGAGTTTTCAGCTTTGGCCACATGAAAGGCCCGAATGACCGAAATTCTCTACTACCATCAGTCATTAGCCACTATCAAATGTAGTGAATCCACTCGATCACTTATTCAGTTTTAGTTCACAGTTACTCTTCTCCAGTAGATCGAGATTCAATCAGATCATTTAGCTAGGTACGGAAGGTATAATCTCCAGAGTGTTAAGTGTACACAACTCACAAAAGAAATTTATGATCTTGCATCGGAGTGCCTCAGTTTATGATCTTGCAATTTCCAAAACTGAAATTTTACATTAAAGTGCGTTGAGAGTGTTGAAAGAAATTATTTTTTTTTTAAATCTTCTTTTGGAAAATTGGAAGCAATTTAATCTTATTTTTTTTTGTATTTGTAAAGAGACCTACCTACGTATTTCTTCCGTCCCATAATTATTGTCCAGTTTGAATTTTCATTTCAAGTTCAAATTATACTAAAAGTGAAATCTCAAACTGGATAATAATTTTGGGACAGAAGGAGTACTTGATCTGAACCGCTGAACGTCCAATTAATTAAGTATCCACGTTCAAGGAAAAAAAAAAAGTCTTTATTGATTATTTAGTTATACTAACTTATCATGTGGTTCATTTAAATATTTCTGTAACTCGCAGATCAGTTGATACGCAAAATATTGCACCAAACGAATAAATATATAAATAATAACAACGAAAAAAAAAAAGAAGAAAAGATTCGCTCATCAATAGACAAAAACACATATGATGTTGCTACATTTGTCATTTTTATTTATTCATTTTGTGCATCATAATTGAGGAGAACACTTTCAGACAGTGGCATCAAGCGTTGCAGATTCCCTCGATATAATATGGTACCGCAATTTTTAAGAACGATTAGTACTTTGTTTTGGATTGATCTATGAATGAAAAACTCTAGTTCTACTCTAAAGAAATTTGTTTCCGTTGGTCCTTTTTTTTTTTTCCTCCTTTGTTATAAATAGCTTCAGATTCACTTGATTAGCGACATTCTAACTTAAAACACAAGCTTATTAGCACAGCTCATAATGTGGAGAAAAAAGCAAAATATATACTACCTCCCTTCCAAAAAATACTTCACATTAAGTTTTGAGTTTTATACTATTTTCAGTATAAATTTAAAAACTCAATGTGGACTATGGCAATTTATTGGGTGCACCCGGAAGCACCATGCTCCTCATATTATTTTTTGTATTTATAGTCCTTATTGTACTTTTTCTCAATATTTTTATATTTTACAAGTTTAGTCCCTGCCATTTTTTTCTCTCTTATAAAATTTGTTCACAAATTCTTATATGCATGTCTCCCAATTCGTGAAAAATTTGTGAACGAATTATATATAAAATTTATAGTACTCGTCAAGATCTATCCAATAAGATCCATATCAAATGTTTTTTTTCGGACTCAAAAATTATTAAATTCTGATGGGCAGAAATAAGGTGGATATCCAATTTAAAAAGATAGATAACCAACTTATTTTACATTCATATTGTGTTTCCTATATCTCTTGATCCGTGAATAATTAGAAAATGAATTATACATAAAATTTATAGTACTCGATGAGATCTATCCGATAAGATCAATATCGAATATTAATTTCAAAAACTAAAAAAATTAAAATACTCCGGGCAGAAACGAAGAAACTGTTTGTGTTGGATAACCAGTATAAAGATGTTGGATAACCATTTTTTCAGAAAAAAGGGAAAAAAATGATTGGATAAACCATCACAAACCACTTGGATAACCAGTGAAAATAATTGGATAAGCAGTACAAACTGGTTGGATAATCGGTATAAAAAAATTGGACAATTATTTTCATAAAAGAGCAAGGAAAAACAAAGTTGGATAACTATCACCAAGAAGTTGGATAATCAGTATGAACACATTAGACACATATTTTCTTAAAAGAAAAAAAAAATTTTGTTTGGATAATCAGTGACAACGATTGGATAACCAATACAAAACGGTTGGATGGTTAACACAAAAAATTGGACAAGGATTTTCGCAAAAAAGTAGAGGAAAAAAATAGTTGGATAATGTATACCAAACAGCTGGATAATCAATATAAACTCGCTGGACAACCTTTTTTTTTCAAAAAAAAAGTGAAAAACACTAGGTTGAATAAACAGTACTAATTAATTAGATAATCAATATTAACACATTAAGCAATAGTTTTCTAAAAAAAAAAAATTAGATAACCAGTACAAACGAAATGGATAATCAGTTCAAACCGGTCGAATAATCAGGATGAACACAATGGATAACCATTTTGAGAAAAAACAAGGTTGGATAAGCAGTACCAATTAGTTGGATAAAAAGTACAAACATATCGAGCAAATATTTTCATAAAAATAAAAAATAAAAAATAGCTGGAGAAACAATAGCACGGGGGTTGGATAATCAGTACGAACACGTTGGACAAGTATTTTCTCAAAAGAAAAAAAATAATTGGACAAACAATACAAACTTATTTAGACAAGCAGTAAAAATAATTGGATAACCAATACAAAGCGATTGGATAATCACTATGAACACATCAGATAACCGTAATTCAAAGAAAAAAATGATTAGATAAGCGGTATAAAAAAATGGATAACCAGTATTAACGTATTAGACAATGATTTTTTTCAAACAAAAAAAATGATTGCATAACCATTACAAACAATTTGGATAGGATATAAATCCGTTGGATAACCAGTATACATAAGTTGGATAGGCATACAAACCAAATGGATGTTCAGTACAAACAAGTTGGATATCCAGTACAAATAAGTTGGATACGCATACAAACCCGTTGGATTACAACTACAAAACAAGTTGAATAGGAAGACAAACCAAATGGATAAGTAGTACAAACAAAATAGATAACCAGTTCAAACTGGTTGGTTAATCAACATGAATACAATGGATAACCAATTTAAAATAAGTTGGTTATCCATCTTATTAAAGTGGATATCTACCTTATTTCTGGCCATCGAAATTTAGTCATTTTTAAGTTC